CGGGAGTTAGAAATTCTTTCATTTGCTGCCACGTTGGGCATTTTTCCGAGATGAGAGCGATTGCTCCCACAACAGTAACGATTTTCTGGTAGTGCCGCGGTGCATATATTTACCAGAATAGGTCCCAGCTGTCTGTGGGAATATTTTTGTCGATAAAACCGACAAACAATAGAAACAGTGGATGTAGTCTAATAAATTCATCACTTGTTTCTTTCTGAATTTTAGGCAAGTTCATTAGTATCGTTACTTGCTTATCGACCAATATTCTTTCATTTTCGTATCTTGCTTTTAGAGCTCCCAAGCCAGATTGAAATTATCGTCATTAGTGCGAACTGTTGACTATGACGCCTGTGACCTTTTGTTTTGTATGGGAGGTGATACAATTTTGGGTGGTTTATGTAAACGGCTGTAAACATTTCCCGGAAGGACGGCCATTTGTCATAACCACCATGAAAGATTTCTGTATCACATGTGGGCACCTTGAGATGGATGCCTGAATTTGACTCTTGACATTGAATTTGTGGCAGCTGTACTCTCGGATGTGGAGCAGGTGCAATGGCTTTAATTAATTTTAATTGATCCGAAATCATTGCTTTGTTTCTCAAACTAGTCTAAGCAGTTTTCGTAGTTGGCGTAGCCGAGGATTTAAAATTTCAGGTAGATCTGAGTCGTCAGATTCTACTATTGCGTCATATGCAGCTTGGAGACGTGTTCAGAAATTATCAAGATTTTCCTTTGATTTCTAATACCGATTCAGAATTGTCCTGAATCGGCGAAGATGAAAATCAGTGCAGTATCGTATTAGACTGTCACTCCAGAGATACATTTGGTGTATGAAATATCTTTCACCCGTTTTTGTTTGTAGCACCTTGCTTTGAGCGTGTAGCTTCTGCAGTGTACATGGATTCTTTTCTTCAGAAATCATTTGGGTATTTTTAGCGACTGTGTTGCTTGGATTCTTTGAATCTGAGGTCATTTAGAAAATAAAGAAATACATTTAAAATTCCTCAGTGTCGACCGATGGAATTCAAGCTATATGTCGTATGTAACGAAACTCTTGTAGGTAAAAGAGTTTTTTGGACAAAATTAATTTAACTTCCGTATGTGTATATAACCGCAAACTCATTTAGTTATTAAGAGTTTTAATTCGAATTAAGTTTCTTAAATACGCGGATTTAGGTGTTTATAATTACTGGTCGTATTTGTTTTTTAATTTATTACCAATCGAACTTGTATTTATTTATCGTTTTTATGTCCTTATGTAGGGGTATGTAGGTACACCCTAATGCGTGGACTTGTAGATATGTATTTATGTACTTGAGCAAATGAGAGCTCGTTAAAGAGATCAATGCACTTTGTACCTAGGTGTACACGAATTATTGTGCTGAAATGTTTGTGTGCAATCCTGCTTGTGTTTGTTTGCCAAAGAACAAGGGGTATTGCTGGATATTTGCCAAAATGGACTTTAAAGAAATTTTTATTTAAGAATTTTTTTATATTATTTTATTTAGCTGTCTGCTAGCAAAAAAATTGTTTTTTTTTTGTATTATGGAATTATTTATTTATTTGTTGCTAAGATTTAACCGCACCGTTCAATTAGTTTTAAAATGATCGATATTTAAACGATTAAATTTAATAAAAATATGTATTTGTACCCACTGTATATGGGTTATGTGAGCATAGGCATATCGTTTGCCATATGTACAAGTGTGTATGTGTGTGACTGTGCACGCGTGATATTTTTCGGCGTGAGAGAAGAGTGTGGAGAAAAATAAAAATTGTAATACGCAGGTATTTTACCGACTGCGCTTATGTTAATATATTCTGATATAATGTATATGTAAAAATATAAGAGAATGCTTAGTTATAAGATTTATCGGTAAATGCAATTTGAATATTGTTTGCCGATTGAAAGTTTATGTATGTTTGTAATTTCAGGCCTTTTTCGGCAATCGTGCAATGTGCCCCTGTGTCGAAAATACCGTGTCAGCTGACACGACCTATTTTATGAGCTCACAATGTAAATGAAAACTCACCACCGCTTATACCGTACGTAACGTAGATATCCACGAAAATTGGATTTTTCTCATTGAAATGTGTCACCTGGTTGCTCTCTTACAACGCAGGGTTGCCAGTCTCGATATTTTGTAGTAATTAAAAAATAAACTTGCATATCTTTGAAATATTCTTAACCTAACTTCAAAAAAGACATTCTACATTCGAAAATGGCGAAATTCGTAAGCTTGCCAGTGATCAACTCGTCATTATTGTCAGTTTTATGGTTTTCTAAGAAACCATGCAATACCGCCTTAAACCTGTTTAAGGATTTTTTCACTTATTTGCTAAGTAACTTCGGGAAAATATCACAACCCATATTTTTTTTTATTTGAAGGCCTACAAAGATTAAATCTTTTATTTTGGTTCCCTTCGAATTCTCGGCATTGCAACCTTTCTTGACCTTATTTCACCTCGGTACCAGTCTACAATAAAACGTCACATATTATAACCTAATTAATGTTATCAAAATAGTTAATATTTACTATACAAGTATAATAGAGGAAATTAACTTGCCATCCAGAACATATCTGCAAGAGTTACATTTACACATGTGAAGCCCATTTTTTGTTCTGATGTTTAACAGGTATATTGAAGTAAGCTTGATACGCTTCCCAAATTAAATTTTTATCCCCATTTTAATATATTCGCTGCAAATATACCAAAACTACTCGAAGACATTTTGTACTGGCTGTTACAAGAAAACAAAATTATGAAACACGTTATTCCTCTGCAATGTACAAATACATACATAGGTCTTGTCGCACACAATAAGCGATGCAACACTATCTTCCATCTTTCGACGGTAAGAGCACGAGTTAATATTGTTTACACGATATGAGTCATTAAAAATATACTGATAATAGCTGAATCGAAATGTGTACTCTTTATTGATATTCTTAAGACTAACTTGTTACATAGCTCTTACAGCAATTTATACTAACTCGTGTGTTTACTTATTAATAGTTGATAGTTTGTTTACATACATATAACACATTGTTTGTTCTAAGATTACGTTGTTTTGATGTAACATATTATATTTTGTTTAATTTTAATACGTTGTCTTCATTCCAAGATAAGGTTGTTTTGATGTTTGTTTGCTTAGGATATTTTGATGATATACCTATTGTTATAAGTAGTACGTTCCTTAACTTCTGCGAAGACCAACATTATATGGGCGCGAAAATGAGAAATGGTCAAATCGCTTCAATTGCTTAAAAATCAAATATTATAATTTCGCTTGTATTCGTCCTTTCTCATTTCTATTTGCTTATACCAGAATATGTTAAATAATAAAGCTCATGCGCAAAACCAACAATTTTTTTGTTGTGCTGTGTTATCAATTCTTAGCTACCATTACTATCCCTCTCGCAATCCTTTCAAATAACGTTGAAACCTGCATAACTCAGAATATATGAACGGCCGTTTCGCTTGATATCTTGAACTGCAGCTGTTATTTAAGCAATATATAATATATTTATACTCTCGCAACCTGTTGTTAGAGTATAATAGTTTTGTTCACCTAACGGTTGTTTGTATCACCTAAAACTAATCGAGTTTGATATAGCGTTATGTATATATAAATGATCAGGATGAAGAGACGAGTTGAAATCCGGGTGACTGTCTGTCCGCCCGTCTGTGCAAGCTGTAACTGGAATATAAATTGAGGTATCTTTATGAAACTTGGTACACATGTGTCTTGGTAATACGGTTGATTTTGCTGATGGGCGTAATCGGACCACTGCCACGCCCACAAAACGACATTAATCAAAAACAAATAAATTGTTATAACTTAGCTCCACAATAAGATACAAGACTGTTATTTGGAATACAGCATCAAATTAGGGAGGGACATCTGCAATTAAATTTTTTTTTAAATTGGGCGTGGTCTGGCCCCTAATAGGTTTAATGTGCACATCTCCTAAACCGCTACAGCTATAATAACAAAATTCACTGAGAACAAATGCTTTCAGAACCTCTATCGACTGTGCGAAATGGGTGAAATCGGGTGACAACTTCGCCCACTTCCCATATAACGGTACTGTTAAGAACTACTAACAACGCGATAAATCAAGCACCAAACACGCCAGAGTCATTTAATTTTAACTCTGGAACTTATAGGAAGAACTTAATAGAAAGCGCTTTCAAAATTATACAGTGGGCGTGGCACCGCCTACTTTTAGGTGTAAGCATATATCTTGGGTTAACCGATTTCAAGCAAATTGTACATGCCATTCTTTTTGTATATCTATGTTATTGTGCAAAATTGGTGAAATCGGATTACAACCACGCCTATTTCCCATAAAACACCATTTTAAATTCCATCTGATTCATTCACTTCCAACCGGGGTGCTTTGCGCAAATACTGCGTTTGAAGTATGCAACTTGTGATCAGAAATTGTCTAAATCGAATCAAAACTCTTCAAGTCCCTAGGTACTGAATATGTGGACCCAGTTGACTTTTTACTAAAAATATCGGTTAATTTGTGAGATATATAATTGAAATTCATATAATAAAATAAATAAATAAAACTCTCGATAATAGTATGTTTTTGTGTCAAAAATGGGTTAAATCGAATCAATACTTCCTTTAATATAAAATTTAGTCAACACCTGAAGTAATTTCTCGGGCTTTTATATTTGCAAGTTGCGGGAGTATGAAACGATCAGTTACACCCGAACTTAGAACTTCCTTACTTGTTTTTAATATATTTAATTGTTATTTCAAAAGTTGAGTTGTTTTAGCTTCACTTAAAACCTAATTCTATGACTATGATTTCAGATGGAACGAGGCCTATACGTGGAGTTATGTTAACTGCTGTGTACATAATGTAGTTGTAGGTAAACTATGGATTGAACAGCTTGGAACAATGGAAATAAAGAATCATTCGAATGGTTACCGTGCTATTTTAGACTTTAAAGAAGCCGAAAGAAGTTCTTCCAAAGAGGCTAACCAAGTGTTTGGAATTGTTGAAAACGATGAGTAAGTATTATACTTTTTTAAGTTAGAGAAACCCTTGAAAATTAATTTCAAACTTATTGTCGGAGCTTATCCTTACGCCCTTTCTGTAAGCATTAATCGACATAAAAAAACTATATACATCATATTAGTCCTTTGGAATACCAATATCAATAATATTTAGTACCGAGTGACATAATGCTAATCAAAATATTCTCGTTTAATTTTAGTGAGACATTTTCTATTGAGGGATATGCGATATAAATTCAACCCAATAGACGAAAATTAATATATTGGTTGAAATTTGTCGAATGGTGGCTGAGATATGGGATTTAATCCAAGAGTCTGCGGTGCCATGCACATTGTAAACTTTCATTTTTTTGACGTGTTTCTTTAGAAAATTAAAGTTATTTTAGTAGTTTTAAACATAGCCATTGTACGGAGGTCAGCACGGTTATCATATGATTTCACCCATCATTTTCAGATCGTATGATGATATAGTATTTATAAGTGCTTTTTGCAACTTTTTTATCTAACCTTAGTTATTAGAAATGGGGATATTAACTTGAAACCTTTTTAACCACGCCCATTTTAAATCTTCTGTACTTAAATTCTGTTAACTGTTAAGTGAATTCATTATAGCCTGTACAACATTTAGCGAAAGTATTAACATGTAATTTGGAGGAGTCGACAAAATCGGATCGGAATCAATAAAAAATCTGGTGTTATCTATGCCAGCTAGATTAAATGACTTATTAAAGGTTAAATTGTAGCATATTAAACATTCATTATTACACTCTTGCAACATGTTGCTACAGAGTATAATCGTTTTGATGCCATTGCGTTTCCTGAACCTCATGAGGATTTGACTCCCCCCAATAGCCACAATTTTGTTTGTTGACGAACCATTAAGCCAGAAATGGGTCTCATCTGAAAAGATGATTTTTCGATGAACACGAATTTGTGAGTTTTTGAAATGAAATGGCAAACCAAATCCGTAAACAAACATGGCCAACACGAGTTGTCAAAATCACGTAATCCCTATTTGTAGACGCTGTGGATATATGTTTAGTTTTCTATTTATGGCTGCTATTTTAGCTGTTTCATACAAGCTACAAAGTATAACAATTTTGCTCACTTAACGGTTGTTTGAATCACCTAAAACTAATTGAGATAGATATAGAGTTATTTATATATAAGAACGGCCTCTTTTCTATACAACTGCATATGAGGGAGATATTCTACGGATCATTCCAAACAACTTTGCCTGAGAGACTATGGATCTAAAACCGGTTTCGAGCCGAAGAAATTTGTATAATCCCTAACAGATAAACTTCGCTTTAAAAATCGCCACCGGGTTTAAACAGCTATCATCTCTGGTAAAGTTGTTCAGAATGATCCGTAGAATATTTTCCGCATATGCGGTTTTTCCATTTTTTTAGCTCCCTGTAAATCAACGCGCTCTAATAACATACATATATATAAATGATCACGATAGAAAGACAAGTTCAAATCCGGTTGATCTGTCTATTTGTCTATGCAAGTTGTAACTTGAGTAAAAATCAAGATATCGTCATGAAATATTGTACAAGTGTTCCTTGGTAAAATCGCAAGGATGATATTGAAGATGGGCGTCGTTGGGCTATTACACACCAAAAAAATGCTAATAATCGATTTTCTTTAAAGAGCTATAACTAAGCTTCAAATTAAAATATTAAACTGAAATTTGGTACCGGGGATCGCAGAAGTAAGTGCCAAAGCGTATTGCCGCTCATAATAGGTTTAATGTATATATCCTCAAACGGTGTGAAAGTTTGTGAAATCGGCGTACAACCAGAACTACTAAATTTGCGATAGTTCATGTATAGAACACCTGTAACATTAAATTTTCCATCCTATATGGTGCGGAAAGGCTTGGCATAACCCCCCTTTAGGCAAAATTTCATATCTCAGGACCTACTCGGCCAACTTCAACAACATACGGTTCTTCAGACAATTATTCATTACGATGTGAAAATGAACGAAATCTAACAAAAACTACTCCTATTTTCAATATAACCCCATTATCAATTCCATCTAATTATTCCACTTTCAAGTTCACATATCAGGCTACAAATATCGAGAAAAAAATTGCACATATGTATAGTGCCTCCAAGATTTTCCTTCTCATGACTGAATTGTTAAAATTAGACTATAACTGTTCAAGACCCAAATACCGAATATGTGGACCCCAGTGTAAATGGCTAAGTTTTTACAGAAAGTATCGGTCCATTTATAATATATATATTAACACTTGAAGATAATATTTTCCTGATAATAGTGTGCCTGCCTATCCAAATTTGTGTAAAATGGGGTATAAAAGTATATACCTAATATAAAGATGTTCGAATTTCCAGTTATACCGTATATATTGGTCGATATGAAAATTATCTTAATGAAATTCAGACAAAATCTTATTCCAATAGCAATGTATCTTTGATATAATGAAGAGACAGTAAGGACTAGCACTGCCAGGGACTACTACCAACGTATTCTGAGCTTTTTATACTCTCGCAACTTGTTGCTACAGAGTATAATAGTTTTTTTTACCTAACGGTTGTTTGTATCACCTAAAACTAATCGAGTTAGATATAGGATGAAGAGACGAGTTGAAATCCGGGTGACTGTCTGTCATAACTTACCTCCACAATAAGATACAAGAGTGTTCTTTGGAATACAGAATCAAATTAGGGAGGAACATCTGCAGTTTAAAATTTTTTTTTGAAGTGGGCGTGGTACCGCCCCCTAATAGGTTTAATGTGCACATCTCCTAAACCGCTACAGCTATAATAAAAAAATTCACTGAGAACAAATGCTTTCAGAACCTCTATCGACGGTGTGAAAATGGGTGAAATCGGGTGACAACCCCGACCATTCCCCATATAACGGTACTGTTAAAAATTACTAAAAGCGCGATAAATCAAGCACTAAACAAGCCAGAGACTTTAAATTTTATATATGGTATAATATGACTTTGTAGGTACCACGTTCAAAATTAGGTAGTGGGCGTGGCACCGCCCAGTTTTAGGTAAAAACCCATATCTTGGGGTCTGCTTAACCGATTTGAACCAAATTCGGTACATAACATTCTTTTCATATTTCTATGTTATTGTGCGAAAATGGGCGGATTACAATCACCCCATATAACACCATTTTAAATTTCATCTGATTTTTTCACTTTCCACTATGCAAATCAAGCAACAATGATTATATCGGGGTAAAACTTTGCGTGAATAATACTTTTAAAGTATGCCACCTTGTGACCAAAAATTGTCTAAATCGAACCAAAACTGTTCAAACCCCTAGGTACTGAATATGTAGGCCCCAGTGTCCATAGTTGACCTTTTACCGAAAATATCGGTCAATCCACAAAGAAATCTCAAACGAGTATACCATTTGATTTTGCGAGAGTATAAAATGTGCGGTTACATCCGAACTTAGCCCTTCTTTACTTGTTATATTTTAAAAACAAAATTAATTAAGTATATGTATTCTGACATAAACGGTATGCGTACTTCTATGTTATTCAATTTGCAAAAGTGTCTACAGTTGTAGAAGCTGTGCTGTATTGCATAAAATGAAGCTCTCACAATATCGTTCTCGCTACCCAATTACTGGAAAATATGATCAATTAACATAAGTATGTATCTACGAGTATATAGGCGAATATAACAAAGTCAATATGTGACCAGAAAGTGATTTAGTGAAAGAATAAAGTGGATAAAAAAGGTTATAATTTAAGGTTAAATGCTTTAACATAAGTATACTGACATTAATTTTATTAACCTTATTTGGCATAGCCAATCGAATGGATGTACGCACGGATTGAAAGTACATTAAACATTTCGTCTCGTGATTCTGTTTTTTTGATACATACAAGTACATAACATTATTACTTTCTTGATTCAATTTAGATGTTGAAAACAATTCTTAATCAAAACAATTATACTGTGTGCTTAACATAGTCTTATGTAAAACAACAGACAAATCCGATTAAGCCGACGATGATTGATATCAAATGAATATAAGCATTGAAATGAAAGATTTTGAAAATATAATTACTAATTGAAGTTTGCAGGTATGTTGTATATACAAAATGTATGTTTGTTTATTTTTAGAAAAAAAGTGATATATAGGTTATTTGGAAAATGGAACGATTTTCTTAAATGTGCATCAGAAGAAGACTACCAGCTCAATATGCAGCAAAAACACGTTAACGAATCAATGTCATCCCATGACCGAAACGCCAGGAAGTTATTTTCAAAGTTGAACAGTTTTAAAATGCCATTATTTTTAGGCGCAAGTATTGAAGATGTAAGTGCGAGATACATATTTCGCATCAATTAAAAAGACGTAAATATATTAACCAACTTTTTCTAATCAGGATCAAGTTGGAACATCAGAGCTTAATTCTTTAAGCCTTAGAGAATATATTGATATATCTTCCGAAATTAAATCAGCTTTATTGTGGAAATGTAAAGAGCGACCTCTTTATAGCGCTAAGGTAAATATTTATTTATTTATATATGTACATATATCTCTTTAATAATATATTAGCACGAGATAAAGATTTGTTGCAGATTATAATAGTTTTGCTTTTATTTATATAATTAGGTTATATAATTAGGTATAATTTATCGTTTTATATTTTACAATAAATCCTTTGGGGACGTATACTTGTATATGTTAGTTGAACGTTGTGTTGTGGGGGAATTTCTCCTTTTTCCCTTGGCTTTGTTTTAAATTGGCGCATGGGTGTTTTTCACTTTCCGTTCACTTCGATTACAGTTTCTTTTTTTTATATTAATTTCACCTGTATGTTTGTATGTAGCTAAAAGCATCAACTGCCCATGCTGTCATTTGAATAACAAATTTACTCAAACATATCCTTAATAAAAGGGAAAACCCCACGTGTGGCTAAATGCAAGCTGCAACTTGAGTAAAAATTGAGATATTGTGATGAAACTTGGTACACGTGTTTCTTGGAAAGGGAGAATGTATTCGTAGATAGGCGTTATCGGACCACTGCCATGCCCACGAAACGCCATTAATCGAAAACCTATAAATTGCCATCACCAAGCCGAAAATTAAGATACGGAACTGTAATTCGGTACAACGAATCGCAATAACGAATTTTAAAAAGTAAGCGTGTCCCTCCTCTTATTAGGTTTAATGTGCATACATATTTCCCAAACCATTCAAGCTATATCACCCAAATTTGCACAGGACAAATCATTTCGACAGCTCTTGCGACAGGGTCAAATAGCTTAAATCGGATGATAACTAACCCCAGGGTTATTTTCGTAAGATTATAATTATACTTGTATTCCCATGTTACAGTGCTAAAATGGAAGAAATCGGGCAGCCCCCCCGCCTTCTTCCCATACAACATAACTTTAAATTCGGTATAATTTTTTCACTTTCCAGTATATAAATCAAGCACCAATAAATATATCGGGATGAAACTGTGCAAAAATAGTGCTTTAAGGTATGCCATCTCAAATGGAAGTATTGTCAAAATCGGACCATAACTGTTCAATCCCCCAGATACCGAAGATGTGGACCCTAGTACCTATAGTAGACTTTTTACCGAAAATATCGGTCACTATGTAAGATATATTATATAATTGAAATTCGGAGAGAACCTTTTGCTAATAATAGTATGCCTGTGTATCAAAAACGGGTTGAAAGCGAGTCAGTGCGTTTTTCTAAAAACGGTGTATCTTTGGGACTAATATAGATAATATCGGGTGAAAGCTTGCTCTAACCCCAATATAACTAATATCAGGATTTTTAAACATCCGGTTGACCGTTGTTGAGTGCGACAGTTTTTAACATAAAGTTGTGTAACCATCTGAATGTATTTTGCCGCCTTTAATCCGTGGATGTTGCAAGAGTATAAAATGTTCGGTTCGACCTTTGCCCTTTCTCAGTTTTTTATATTTGATTTTGATGCCTAAGTTCAGCTTTAATTTTTGAGCAATTCTTCATGTCATAGTGGTTGTATTTCTGGGGCGGTTTGTTTGAAGTAGAAATTTGTCTTAGCTTAGCCCCACCTTCGTACATGGTTTTTATTTTAACCTGTTCTTCACTTGAGAGTTCAGTTTCATGAGGCTTTCTAGGCTTAAAATTAAAACTGTTTATAAAGTTGCTGTAAACTTATATCTAATTATATTTCTTACGCTTTTATTTTCAATAAGCAGCAGCAGTCTCGTGTAAATTAAACGACCTATTAGATATATCAGAGAAATAAACACTAATTAATCAATATCTTATATGTAATTATAATTAGGAACATTATTAATTGTCTAGGACATTAATTTGTCGAAAAAAACTTACCTTTACTATCAACTAATGTGTGATGTTTTGCTCCAGAGTCTGAATCGAAGCGGAATTGTCCGCATATACCTTAGACTTTACTTATACCCACAGGAAGAAGTCTAACGATCTTGGCCAATGGAACGGACCAAAATGTGAAATTATCTATTCACTGAAGTGTGCTCGTCGTGTGTGTGGCGCCGTCTTATTAAAACCAAATGTCGCCGAGATCACGAGCCTCAATTTCAGGCATCAAATAATCAGTTATCATGGCGCGATAATGGTTGCCATTGACGGTCACGGCCTCACCGGCCTTATTTTCGAAGAAATATGGACCGATGATTTCACCGGCCCACAAACCGTGTCTGGATGAAATGGCAGCACTTGAATTTCTTTAAGTTGCTCTTTGTCCCAAATGCGTCCCATTGAGGCAGAAATTGGCCTCATCGTTGAACAAAATGTGGCTCGAAAACGTCGGTTCTTCTTGGAACTTTAGAGCGAAGCGATTTTTTTGGGCAGGTCTGGCGGCTTCAGTTCTTGCACAAGCTGTATTTTGTATGCTTTCAATTTAAGATCTTGACGTAAAATGCACCAAGTCGTTCCATTCGTCAGTCCGAGTTACTACAAACGGCGCCAAATCGACTCTCCACGGTCTTCGTGTACACACTACGGCCGCTATATTTTCTTCACTGCTATTCGGTCGAATATTATCCAATAATGAATGCTGGGTCTCAAGATGAGTGATAGTGTTGCGCATAGCACGCTCAGTAGGCCGATTATGTTGACCATAAGTTGATCGAAACGCGCGAAACACATTTTTGAGAGAACGTGAATTTTCGTAATAAAGTTGAAATTAAGTTGAAAAAATTACCTTTACTTAGATCACCCGTTATAATTTACTTTTTCCATTGTGTTCTTAATTTTTGGGTGCAATGTTAATATTTCGATAAATCAATCACTGTTTTTATGGAAAAATGTTATTAAAAATAAGTTTTCGAATCAATAAGCTTGGGAGTATTAAGATTTGGAATTAGTTCCGAAGAGGGGGTGAGTGTGTTACACATGTTTTCAGAAAACAAGGGTGTAATTATCTAAAACCAACTATGCAGAAATTATATTCAAAATAAATTGTTAACACGTATTCTAGAGAAGTGCAACCTGCTAAATATTTTGGTGTAATCGGGGATTCTACGCCAGTCGATCAGCTTACGATAATTATAAGATATGTACCTGATAACGGTTAAATTGTTGAAAGATGTCTGGAACTTTTACCAAATACTGGCCACAAGGCTAAGGATATTGAAGATGCTCTGCTAAAACTTGTTGAAAACAATGGTTTAGATATAATCAACTGAAGTGTCCAATCTTATGATAACGCTAGCAATATGTCAGGTTTATATTTAGGAGTGCAGTCAAAAATGATTAATCCATTAGCAGAATATATTGCTTGTGCTGCCCATTCGTTGAGTTTTGTAAGAACTTGTGCAGCTGAACCTGTAACCGAACCAGTTGACTTTTTTTCTTATTTGCAAGCCAAGAGTATGGACGCACTAAATAAGTTTGCACTCTACGTAGGGTTTGTGTAGTATGTGGTAGTTTATACCCTACGTCCGAATGTAGACATAAAAAAGAGTTAAGCAAATGTCGTAAAAGGTAACACTGTGTCGGTTATGTTGAAAAGTGCTATAACTCTTTATGGGTCTGTATCAAAATTGGACAAAGGGCGTGGCACTGCCCGTTTTTCGATAAAAACTCATATCTCGAGAGCTGCTCTACCAAATTCAGCCAAATTTTTCACATAACATTATCCTGCCTTTTCTATCTTACAGTGCGAAAATGGACAAAAAACCACGCCTGCTTCCCATATAACACAACTTTAATATCGATCTTATTCTCTCACTATCCAGTAGACAAATCAAGCACCAATGAATTTATCGGGATACAACTTTTCACAAATACTGCAAAATTGGACCATAACAGTTCAACCCAGATACCGAAGATGTGGATCCCAGTGCCTATAGTGGACTATTTACCGAAAATATCGGTCAATGCGTAAGATACACAATTGAAATTAGGAGAGAGTCTTTTCCTGATAAGAGTAAGACTGTGTGTCAAAAATGGGTTGAATTTGGTCAATATGGCCCCATATGCCCAATATACATATAATATATACATCCGCACTTCCGGACTATAATGATTTTATCATCTATCGCATTTGAGTTAATTAGGTTGAATTGTTTTTCAACAATTTTTAAGATAAGGTTTTGCAACACCTAAAAGTATTTCCCCCCTTTGATCTTTTAAACTTACACCCGAACTTAGCCTTTCCTTACTAGTTTCATAGAATTAAGTACGTTTTAAAAAGCGTTGGTGAGAGCTTAAATTTTTCGCGTTTAAAAATCCGAAACAAGGATGAAGTATGTATAAAATTCCCCAATTTGTTGGAGAGCACACACAACCAATGTTAAAACACTTCACAACTTCACTAATATTTATTTGCGTGGATAATTTAATAAATTAAATGAAAATGCGATTGTATCGTATACAAGGTTAACACGGCTTTTATATTATTGTTATAAACATATAATAATAAATTATTATGAAACTGGTCGTATTTATCTATATAACGACTTAACGCATATGCCCGAAAATAATCCGCATTACGAGTTCTCAACGGTGTCGCTTATCGTAGTTTTTTCGCACGGGTTTGCGAATCGAAAAGTAAAATGTTGATGTGGCGCTCAGGCTCGTAGACGAAAACGAACGAACGTTGATGTGTTGTTTACGCGGCGCAGTGTGCTAACGAATGTTGATCCTCTGATATGGGGACCATCCTTTTTGTTGCTTGGCGGTGTGGGGTGTCGTCGTCTGGTGACATCTTGCTGAGTGTGGTGGTGTTATCAGGTGTGGTGTATATTATTAGTGTGCGCCAGTTTTTACCGAGTAGAGTGGTGTGTTTAGTTACTGAGGCTTAGCTCATTTAAACATCCTGGGCCCCCTAGGCGAATATTTTGCCTAGTTTTTCACATATTTACTAAAATGATATATGTACTTGTATGTATTGCGGCATGCTGTTGGTTGAGTAGCCGAGGACGCGGTGGGGTCACATGGTGATGGAGTAATGTTATATCCATATTTATCTGTAGTGTATAAAACGGCTTTGGTTTTAAAAACATATCTTGTAAT